ACACACTGGACTGCACCTGAAAGCCCATTTTAAGCTAAACAAAAAACAAAAAAACAACAGCACCAGGACACGGCAAAATCGTAGTAAAAATGTACTGTACTAGGGCTGCAGCTAACAATTATTTTCATAAATCGATTAGTTAGCCGATTATTAAGTTCGATTAATCGGATAAAAAAATGGCTCCAGCGATGGACTACTAGTTTGTATTGAGATTATAGTCCATCATGGGAGCAAGCATGGAGCGGTGGAAAAAAAAAAAAAAAAAAAGTGTGGTGTGCAATATAGTACATTATACACCAGCGCAATGCAGAATACCAGCAGCTATAGAGGAATACAGCAAATCGCAGCAATAGTCCATTATACTATAATATTCTATTGCTGGGATTTTGTAGTTCTCTAGCTGGTGGTATTCTGCGTTGCGCTGTATAATGTACTATTGCTGTGATTTGTAGTCCTATATTGCGAGTGGTATTCTGCATTGCGCTGTATAATGGTTATACAGCGCAATGCAGAATACCAGCAGCTATATAGGAATACAAGAGGGGAGATGCGGCTTGCAGGGAGGAGAAGCGACGAGTCTGTATGGCGGGGAGGAGTCGTGTCGCGCGGCGGGGAGGGCCCAGTCACACCAAGAGTGCAGCGAGTGAGGGAGCTCACTGCGAGGAGAGGAGCAGCGGCTTCAGCGGCGTGTGCGACTTCTGTGTCATGCCCGGCGGGCGCGTGACATCACACGCCGCGCCCGCCGGACACGACGGGTCAAGTGTGGAGCCCCGAACAGGCTAACCTATCGATAGCAGCCTAATCGACGATGGAAAACGTTGACAAGGTTTTCCATCGTCGATTTTAATCGACGTAAACTCTTAACTGTTGCAGCTCTAGAGTAGACAAGATCTGGAGCAGTTGCCCAAGGCAACCATTCAGCTTCTCTCTTCAGTTTGCTCAGGTAAGATTTGAAAATGAGGCAGAGAAGCTGATTGGTTGCAGTGCAAATCTGCTCCAGATTTTGTCTGCTACAGTTTTGATAAATTCCCCCCTGTGTCTGGTTCTAAAAATAGTTTGCTGCCCATTTTATTTGTTTTGTAGTAGGAGAAACAAGGGACAATGATGAACTGTGTGAACAGGTACTAGTTCTTTCCTATGTGAACAGGGAGGAAAGTTCTAACCACGTAAGCAAAATGGAACATCATTCAAGTTGCACTAGTTTGTATTGAGGGCAGGCAAGGATCAGCTTATTTTAATAGTGAGCACTTTTCAATATTGTCAGAATCTCTCAAGGAAACCTCTTATTGTTGAAAAGAGAGGGAAGTGTCATCGTATTCAGATCACTACAGTTACATTTCTAGTCTAGTCTACTCCTGACCTACTTTCAGAAGGTGGGCCCTCGATTGTCGGCGGGCAAGTGGCGAGTGAGGGAGCTCACGGCGAGGAGGAGAGCAGCAGCGTGCACGGCTTCAGCCTGCGCGGTGGGCGTGGCTTATGCGGCGGCTGCGGCCTGTTCGGTGGGCGTGGCTTATGCGGCCTGTGCGGAGGGCACGTCGGGCGCAGCGTGTGACGTGTGATTCAGGCCGCGTGTGGAGCCCCGAACAGGCTAAGCAATCGATAGCCGACGAATCGACGATCGAAAACGGTGCCGTCGATTTTAATCGACTAAATCGATTAACTGTTGCAGCTCTACACTGCATTTGCATATCAGCTCCAGACTTGGTGTGAACATGGCCTCTAGGCTTTTTTCCTTTATTTTCAACTGGCGATCTGGCCAGTAACACACTTCCTTTCTTAGGGAGACTGCACTCTATGGAGCTGTTATGGTGTGGGTTGTTACTACCTTACTCTCCACTCACATCACTGATCTTCGTTCTCATGAAAAGCTAGGCTTGATGAAGAATTTTCTTCATCCAACACACAACCAGGTTGGATGCCTGGTCTATGCTATGCTTTGTGGTTCCTTCCACTGGCCCTTCCCTCATCACTAAAGGACACAGTAGCGACGCAGGGAACAGAAGAAATCTCAGCATGCAAAGGGGGGGCGCAGACATTAAACACACTCAAAGGTGTGTCGTCAGATGCTAAAGATTCTTCGGTCAGTGTACCTCTTTAGGTGAGCGAAGATTGGCTGCATGAGTAAAAGGGACAGAAAAATATTCATGACTTCCACTTTAGACCTCATGCACATGGCAATCAAAGCTGTGAATTCTTGCAGCAGAAATCCCAGGTGGGTCTGTGCATTCAAGTTAATGGTGACAGCGGCCACATCTGCCGTGGCTGTCAACGTATGTGGAATGATTAGCTGTGGATCGGGAAAGATGTTTGCCCCTGATAAAAATCAATTTACCTTGTTGCACTCCTTACCGGTCTTGTCCCAATGATAATGGGTGCTCGCAATGACGGCGGATGGCGCTGCTCACAATGCAACAGAAGATAGAAAGACGTCATCAGCACTCCAATCCAAAGATTCAGATTAGTGTAAATCCAATTTATTAGCAAAGTCATGTAGACAAGCGCTTTTGGGGCCACGCAGGGTCCCCTTCATTAGTGACGAGTCTCTACTGAGCCTGATGAAGGGGACCCTGCGTGGCCCTGAAAGCGCTTGTCTACATGACTTTTGCTAATAAATTGGATTTACACTAATCTGAATCTTTGGATTGGAATGCTGAAGATGTTTGCCCCGCAGACGCAGCGAGAATGCATCTTTCAATTTGCAGGTAATGGTTCCATGTACAATTACATGGAGACAGTCGCGGCCACCGACAGCCTGTCATTCACAGCAGCCAAATCTGTAAAGACACACCTCCGAAGGTTTTTGCCGCAGTAATTTCTAGCTGCAGCTTTGACGACTTTGTGCATGAGGCCTAAAGCTTTTAATTTTTACTTCCTTTTTACTAAGGAATGTAAACATTTCAATTTATCTAAGAAAAACAAATAAAAGATTCAGGAGGGGAATGAAGAACGGGAACACTATGCAACTTAATTCTGGCACACCCTTGTTAAATACAACCATCTGACATCTGTTTATCCATATTCAACAAGTAGTTCCACCAGTGACTGATAAAAAAAAATATTTCACATCTGTGTCATAACAGGCAGCAGGGTGGGAAATTTGTTTTCATGCAGGAAGAATACAATTCAGTAATGCTGAAGTATGAAAAAAAACACACAAAAACAAATTTAAAATCAGTGTATATTCAGAAGGGTCTGTGTACATACAAAGCAGCTACCGTAGGAGGGGAGCCCCAATGTTGACCATTTTTGTCCCCATCAAGAGATCTCTGCATTTACTGAAAGTGGAATAAATTGTATTTCAGTGACTGAAATAAGTTCTTTCCTTAGCTGGCATCATGTCTTACCAGGGTCATTTCACTGTCACCTCATTTAAGCATAATTATACTGAATACCAACAACATATCACCGCAATAGCACGTTGCTGCCCAGTTATCCCACCAGGTAAGATCTTTATACATTTCTGTGGATGCAAGATTGTTGGAAACAAATGTGTGACTTTTGTGTTATCAGAACACTGAGGTGATAATTGTATTCAGCAAAGTTAACTGTTTAAGTAGAACTATGGCTTCCCATTAAAACAAATATGTGCTGCAGCACCTAAAGTGGACCTTTAGACTCCAAAAATCTAATTCTACCAATGCATCGCTCTATATATGATGATTAATAATAACAGACATGTCAGGTGTAAAATGCTGTGATTTTTAATATCCCTACACTTGCAGAACATTCACGTTCTGCTTTGAAAGGGTAACATTATTTCAGTTTGCCCAAGAACAGCCTCCTGAGAAGGTTACATCAGTAGAGCATTGCTGGGAAATCTCATCTCAGTAAAAGGCATTTTCCTTCTGAGATGATCTGCATGGTGACATATCTAGTCACATGAGCCAGATTTCCAGGAAGTAAAAGGAGAGCTAGTAATCTACCCTTAGTTAGCATGGCCACTATCAGAAGACTGGGGAAGAAAAGAGAAATAAGGTATGCAAATACAAAGCCAGCAATTATCTAGAAGTATGTGATTGTAGATTGTCATTACTAAACATTTCTAAAGGCGCCTTTGTTGTTATGTTGTTGCGTAAAAGTCTGCTTTAAAGTGACAATAAACTCAGGAGTTAAATCTTCAAAATGCATTCAAGTACCTTAACAAAAATGTATCTTTTTTGTGTATCACTCAGGTGTAGATCCTCAAATCATCTCTGAATTGGTGCTGACACTGTCCTTCCTTCTGGAGGGTGGCTACTTTTGTTCCCCATGGTCCCTGTGTGTGTGTCTCGTAAAGTAGCCACCACTCTAAGCTACTTCCAGTTATGGACCACAATCTCGCAATTAGTTTACTAATTTGTATGGAAATTGTAGTGTTGAGATTGTAGCCCATCACGGGAGCGAGCTTGGATCGGTGGCTTCTTTACATCATGCACAGGAACAATGGAGGACAAAAGTAACCACCCTCCAGTAAGAAGGACAGTGTCAGCATGAATTCAGAGATGATTTGAGGATCTACAGGTCGAGTGATACACAAATAATTTACATTTTGAGTATAGTTAATGTTAATGCATTTTTAGGATTTAACTCTCAAGTTTAGTGTAACTTTATTAATACATCTCCACTTACAGCTTTTCCTTGGTCCCTCTGCAAAGTCCCACAAATACTTGTTGATCCTGCCAGCAAAGTCTCCCTAATGTAACCTGTGCCTGACTGCATTACAGTGGAATAAGAAAATGTTGCACAGGTATCAGTTTTATGGAAATCAATATTAATGCCTCTAGCTTGTCAATCAATCCCTGGCCACCACTAGTCCTCCTGAAACCCTCCCACTGTGAACTGCTGTATCTAGAAGGAAAAATATGTGAAACGCATATGAAAAATGATTTTGATCAGTCAGGGAAGATGAAGGAAATTTTGTTTGGGCTTGTGCATAACATAGTAACTGGATTTGGTACTTGTTTAGACTGGCACACTATAAAACAATCCATCACAGCACAACATACAGTCAGTTACATTACCTTATCTACATGGAAAATTAAATCAAGTTCACAGACGTTCTCAAAACATTTGTCCAAGGTTTCCACAAATACCTGGAAAACAAAAATGTAATCTGATAAAATTGCTGGAATTATAGAAAGCTATTACTACTAAGATTACCAACTAATAACTACTTTTATATTACTACACAAATATAAATTAGACATATTTAATGGTATTTGAATGTACAGTATAAAGCACAAACACTTTGGCAAAGTTACACTGTAAGCAGTTCTAAAATAGGATTGGAATGGAATGTATAATCTTTTTAAAATGCATTTTAGATAATTAGGTTAGTGTGTGAAGTCTAAATGATAAAAATGTGCTTGTATTAACAACCTTACAAATGACCTCCCTTCAGAGATTGCATTGAGGCTTGACAAAGAGCCTGTGCCTCGAAACGCGTAGCCATTCTATTGAGAGCCTTCAGCCCATGCACTGCTCTCTACCACTTCAGACTTTCTACCTGCAATATTCTGTGCACCCCCGTGATACCAGCACGGCGTATATTCTGTGGACACACGGCGCCCGGTGTCTCACAGCTGTTCGCGGCTCCTCTCCCTCTCCAAGCTGCCACTGCTCGGCCTGGCCAGCCGAGTACGTGGGTCGCTCCACACACTTTCCGGACCCACAACGATCCATCCCTGGAGCTATCCATCCCTTGCACAAGGCTTCATTCCAGGGATGTGGCACTCAAGACGCCAGCTGCTGCCCCGCAGGGGATCTTCAGACACACCAGTCGTCTTCATAACTGAGTCCATTGTCCTCTTTCCATACAGCTAGCCACCATAGGATACCAGCACTAGAAGGGTAGTAGCGCTCCTAAAGTTTTTTTGTATACTCCCTTCAGAGATTGTAATCTCTATAAAATCTGGTATATCTGTTTTTTTAAGTATCAGTTTTTGCATGCATGGCTTACACTCAGCCTGCTCTGGCTCAGTTGGCATTCAGAAACTGCATAGAAGACATGTATAGGAGCAATTAAGTGCATTTCTAGGCAATGCGACAACGCTTAATGTTAGCCAGCAAACAATGCATATGTTGTGTAACTTCCTCTCATCTCTAAAGAATAAGTCAAGGCAACTGGACTTGCTGTATTCTTCTTGAAGACGTTTCACTGGTCATCTAACCAGCTTTCTCAATTCAGAATGACTTGTACAAAAATTATCTGGGAATAAATATGGTGAATATTGTTCCAATCCAGATAATCTGTTAGTCACAACCAGGTGTTGATAGCATTTGCATAATTGGAGCCTAGCAGCTGTTAATAACATGCCCAGAGAGGTGTTAAAACAGCATTGTATGTGGCAGACAATAGATGTCTCAATCCCCACCTCCCGCATCTTTCCAAGCTTGGCTTCTCCATTTTTACATAAATGGCCTCTTTCACACCTCTTTTGAACCAGTCCTCCTCCCTGTCTAGGATGCGTACTTGACTGCCTTCAAAAGGAGTGACCTTTTTTATTTAGGTGTAGGTACACTGCCGAATCCTGACCAGAGGGTTTGGCTCTTCTATGCTGTGCCATACGCTGTTGTAGCCGCCGTTTTGTTTCACCTACAATTCTGAGCACTCCTCACTGCACTGTGACACATTCCTCTCACTCTGTTTCCTGGATCACAAACCACATTCACACTTCCTCAATAGTTCTAAATCTGTTTGGTGGCTTTGGGCAATTTCTATCAACTCACTTTTTTTTCCTTTTCCTGCATCAGGCTTTCCAAATGGGAGGGGCAGAGGCGGTATTTGGGAATGGCTTCTCTGTATTGTTTACAATTATACATAATGCATACAAGATGTAGCCATGATTGATATTTGCTCACTAAACTTTTCACACTGTGCTTATGGGTTAGCAATACATGGCTGCATATTGATCACTTCTTCACAGTTTTTCCCACAACTGCATTAGGCTTCTTAGAACGATTGAAAACAACACGCAAATTATTCAGGAAGGATGCTATTTGTACTTGTCTGACAGACAGCAGGTAGAGGGAGAACAAGTATATGCAACGTCATCATTAAATTACTAAACATAAAGAATGTAAAATTTAAAACCCACACAATTACTAAAAGGAAGCTTTGCAAGAATATGAATTATCAAAAGTGTGCTTGTTCCAGAACAGACAAGGTTGGGCAAGATTTAAAAAAAACAATGCTAAAGAAGTGTCTTAAGGTGCCCACACACCTTGCGATAATCGTGGGAAATCCCGCGATCGTACGATTATCGCATGGTGTGTGGAAGGCGTGCGCAAGCGCACACTTGCGATAATCGCGGGAAATCCCGCGATCGTACGATTATCGCATGGTGTGTGGAAGGCGTGCACAAGCGCACACTGCCCGTTCAGCATTGCGGTCAGCGGAACCCCGCCTCTCAGTGGGGCGGGCTTGCGGTCATCGCAAGTACGACCTGCCTGTCCAAGATAGGCAGATCGTACGTTTTTTTAATTACCTGACAACCATCGCAAGACTTTTGTCTTGCGATGGTTGTAAGGTGTGTGCCCAGCATTAGTGAGCACTAAGTGCAGAATGGTATGAGAGCATGCAGTATGTGCAGGAGAAGAGTGCAGAAGCAGTTTATACATTTGCTGAGCACTAGCTGTTGAGGGGTTAGAAAAGGTATTGGTGACCGGCTTCTGATGGGTTAATGCAGACGCATGTGTAGTTGAAAGAAAAATCTGCATAAACAGAAAACTGGGTGCTGAGATGTTAAAGTACATATGCCAAGTAGTAGTGTTGAGGGTTTACCTTACATGAGCTGGGGACTGGGCACTACGGGGTGCTCAGACGATAACGTAAATAATGCAAGGACTGGGAGTTGCATTATCATCACACATTCCCCACGGAATGGGTTTCCTGGGGGGTGTAAACCCAATGGGGAATAAGAGTTAAGGGGTTAACGATTGCAGACTGCAGACAGTATCCAGTACCTCTACAATATTTACCATTGCCTGCTGTTTGCAGTTTCCAAGTGGTACAGGCATTGGCTACAGACCTAGCCCTTCTCTTAGTCATCTCTGCCTGCTTCCTCGGGATAGCCAGGTAGAGGAGATTGGCAACCCACTAATCTCGTTTGTGAGGACTGAACCTGGAGGTGCTTACTCCTGTCCAGAAATGAGGTGCTGAGTGAGGAGGGGTGTCTTTGCCCTCAATCTCCATATGCAGCTAGGGGCTATATAGGTTACCTGATGTATCCATAAAACAGCCTTTGGCTTCAAACCAGCATCAATTCTCAAGGTGCCTATACACTGTACGATTCTCATACGAGAATCGCGGGAAATCCCGCGATGGTGCGATAATCGTACAGTGTATGGAAGGCGTGCGACCGTTTCTACTGTACGGTCGCACGTCTTCTGTCGAACAAGCAGGCTTGAAAACCCGACGAGAATCGTACGATTCTCGGCGGGTTAGTGGCCTGCTTGTTCGACAACTGCCGAACGGGCCGGTGTGCGCACGCTGCCCGTTTCCAGTGATCGGAAGCCCGCCCCTCACTGCGGTCATCGGAAGCCCGCCCCTCAGCGGGGAGGGCTTTCGATGATCGCAAGTACGATCTGCCTGTCCAAGATGAGCAGATCGTATGAGCTTTTAACAAGTTTACGACCATCGCAAGACAAGAGTCTTGCGATGGTCGTAAGGTGTATGGGCACCTTTACACTTGCACAAAGTCAGGGATTTGTAGGATTAGAGTCAGGTGTATGATTAACCAATTATACCAAGAAGGTGCTAATGATCATCAAATGTAATATGTAGGTTAAACACATTCATTAACTGAAACAAACAGCTGTGTAGGAGGCTTACAACTGGCTGAAGAACAGCCAAACTCTGCTACTAAGGAGAGGTTGTGGAAAACAGTTTAATTTCACAGGTCATACACCATTGCAAGACTGAGCACAGCAACAAGACACAAGGTAGTTATACTGCATCAGTAAGGTCTCTCCCAGGCAAAGATTTTAAAGCAGGCTGGTGTTTCAAGATGTGCCGTTTAAGAAGAAGCAGCAAGAAACAGGCATTGTTGAGGACCATAGACGCAGTGGTCGGCCAAGGAAACTTAAGGCAGCAGATGAAACACATCATGCTTACTTCCCTTCGACATCGGAAGATGGCCAGCAGTGCCATCAGCACTGAACTGGTGGAAACCAGTGGGACCCAGGCACACCCAACTAATGTCCTGAAAAATCTAGCCAGAAGTGGTCTTTATGAAAGAATTGCCGCGAAAAAGCCATACCTCCGACATGGAAACAAGGCTAAGTGACTCAACTATACATGAAAACATAGGAACTGGGGTGCAGAAAAATGGCAGCAGGTGCTCTGGACGGATGAGACGAAATTTGAAATATTTGGCTGTAGCAAGAGGCAGTTTGTTTTCAACGAACAAAGGGCTGGAGAGAGGTACAATAATGAGTGTCTGCAGCAACAGTGAAGCATGGTGGAGGTTCCTTACAAGTCTGGGGCTGCATTTCTGCCAATGGATTTGGAGATTTGGTCAGATACTTATCCATCATGCCATACCATCAGGGAGGCGTGCAATTGGCCCCAAATTTATTCTGCAGCAGGACCCCAAACAGACCCCAAACATACACCAATGTTATTAAAAACTATATTCAGCATAAAGAACAAGGAGTCCTGGGAGTGATGGTTTGCCCCCCACAGAGCCCTGATCTCAACATCATAGAGCCTGTCTGGGATTACATGAAGAGACAGAAGGATTTGAGGCGGCCTACATCCACAGAAGATCTAAGGTTGGTTCTCCAAGATGTTTGGAACAACCTACCTGCCAAGTTTCTTAACAAAATGTGTGCAAGTGTACCTAAGAGAATTCATGCTGTATTGAAGGCAAAAAGTGGTCACACCAAATATTGATTTGATTTGGATTTCTCTTGTGTTCATTTACTTTCCATTTTGTTAATTGATAAAAATAAACTATTAACACATTTATGAAAGCATTCCTACAGTATTTTTCACACCTGCCTAAAACTTTTGCACAGTGCTGTAAATCACAAAATAATAAAACTCACATAAATAATACATAAGCAGTGTTGCAGGTATAAATCCCATAAT